ATTAGATGCCTTTTATCTAAAGCATTTTTAAAAAACCATGTCGATGACATCAAAATGATTGTTTGCATCATGTAAGTTTGCTTACAGAATTACATTTTTAAAAAACCCACTCTATGTGAAAAAATGTTGGTACTCCCTGCAGCTACTGATATGGTTGAAACAATGCTTGACAGATCATATACAAAACAGCTTTGAATAGTTTCACTTGCATGTAATACAGTGAGGAGAATTACCCACATATCTAAAGGCCTTTGTGATCAATTAAATGAGAAACTAAAATCTTCTTATTTTTCCTTTTAAGTTGATGGATGTAACAGATTACAGGATCACAGATTTAGAGCTATAAGGAACCTTACAGCCCATCACATTCAACCCCCTCATTTTACAGATAAGGACTTGCCAGGGTCACATAGCTAGTAAGTCTTTCAGTTCCAGTGCTTTGTCCTTTACACTTGGCTATCTCTCAAGATGTAGTTAAATGTGTTGATTTGGTTATATATCTATGATATGTTGTTGAAAGCGATGCTAGGACAAATTGATTACTTTCCAAACTTATGATGGCCATACCACATCATAAGAACGTTTCAATATTGATTATAGATTGTTTTACGAAAATTATATATATATAAAATGTAAATCTATGTGTATACATATGTATATATGTGCATATATGTATACATCATATATGTGAGTATATACATACATATGTATATTTGATTTTGCAGATGGAACTTAACCAATATTAGGACTAAAAGCAGGTTTACAAACACTTGTTTAAAATGTCTCCCCATTCCATGTGGACACCTTGCTTGTTTTACATACATGTACTGAGAAATAAGAGTTGGGAGCTATATACAATTTTTCAAATTCATAAGATCATAGATTTAGACCTGAAAGAGGCATCAGAGGCATCATCTTGCTCAACTGCTTCAGTTTACAAAGGAAGTGAGGCCTAGAGAAGTTAAATAATTTGCCCAAGGTCATACAAGTAGTGTCAGAGGTGGGATTTAAACCCAAATCTCCTGACACCAGAACCAGCACTTTCAACTTTATTTAAAAAAATTCATTAAAAGGATAGCTTTTTGCAAAATTGTGTTATTCTATGGGGGCAGAGAATGGGGCGAAATATTGTGGACTTTCTCATACTAGAGTACTTTGAAAGATATTTTTTGAACCGAAAGAAGAAATTGTGGTTTTTTCTTATAATAATAAGGATGAAGCATATTCACTTTAGAACAGAATTTTCCTTCTGAAACTTGTGTAGTTGGAATAGACTTTAAAAAAACCACCTGAGTATTTGATTTGATTCATTTATTTTTGGCTAGGCAGTGGGGTTAAGTGACTTGCCCAGGGTCACTTGGGCAAGTGTCTGATGCCAAATTTGAACTCAGGTCCTCCTGACTTGAGGGCCAGTGCTCTATCCGATGCACCACCTAACTGCCCCAAAACTAAGTATTTTAAATAAATCAATCCATATCTTAATCCAGAAAGAGTAACCATATTTTTAAAATTAGAGCTATATATAATAAATTTCCAAAATAATATTTTATGTTTCCCAATTAAAAAAAACCCATCTCACAAATGAAATAGAAAAAGTCCTAGTTATTAATCATTTGACTTATCTGTAGAAGTAGTTCTCATTTCATTTTAGAGAGCTAGATATTTCTGAATATAAATGGATAAGAAGCCTATTTGCCATAAATAAACATGATGAATTTGGTTTTGCTACATCTGAACAAGAATGGTTAATAGATCTGTCTTACAACAGTATACTTAATAAGTATTTGAACCTGAAAATCTTATTATGTTTTGGCTGGATGAATAAAAAGTCTCTTGCAAAAAGTTCTCTTTCAAAGTCACACAAATTTTACTACTATTTATCACATCTTATTTATATGAAACAGGATTTTCTGCTGTAGCTACCATAAAGACAAAATTTCATTTTGAGTAGTGGTTGAAAAAAGAATTTCCAATACAGAAAATGTCTATCAACTGGGTAATGGCTAAACACATTGTGATATGTGAATATAATAGAATATTGCTGTGCTGAAAGAAACAATACCTTTTTAGAGTCTTTTCCTCCACTGATGCTTGAGAAGATAGCTGCCACCCATTAAAGATATTGTGACCATAATAACCAGAAGTTCATCACAAATGAACTTCTAAGATGTAAACTGTTAGTTATAAATGTTCTACATCCTAGGAAAACCAAAGTGCCCCAAACTGAAATTCAAGAAAAATAGGCTGAGATTTACAAGACAACTTTAGATGTCATTTTTGTCCTTAGATTCAGAATCCATTTTGGTAGTGGTAAAGCCAAAAAAAAAACCCAACAAAAAACCAACAACAATAACAACCAAGCTTTGGAATGATTTATGATTCAACGACACAGAAAAAAAATAAACTAAAATGCAGACTTTCAAGGCATGGCCTTTCATAAGAAAAGATACTAAGAAAACAGGTGCAGCAACTTAATGAAAAAATGAAGAAACTCAGGAATACTGCACAGGCAAATTTGGTGCTAGCAAAAAGTGAGCTGGTGATTGGATAACAGAAGCATGAAAAGGCACTGAAGTGATTGTTAGTTGTGAAGATAGTATGAATCTTTCATGAGAGCAGGGGCAGCTAGGTGGTGCAGTAAATAGAGTGCTGGGCACAGAGTCAGGAAAACTCATCTTCCTGAGTTCAAATCTGGCCTTAGATACTTACTAGCTGCATGACTCTGGGCAAGTCACTGTTTGCTTCAGTTCCTCATCTATAAAATAAGCTGGAGGAGGAAATGGTAAACCACTCCAGTATCTTTGCCAAAAAACCCCCCAACAAAACAACAAAATAACCCAAATGGGGTCATGAAGAGACAGACACTACTGAAAAATGGCTGAATATCTTTATCAGAGTAATAATAAGCTATGTAAAAGCTTTGGAATAAAAGAAATGATGATAGTAAAGAACATAGAGGAGAATGAGAAGACACATGAACTGATGCAAAATGAAAGAAGCAGAACCAAGTAAACAATACTTGTTGCGCATGTTTTGAGACTTTTTCCAACATATTAATCAATTATTCTGATTTTTCCTCTTTTTCTTTAAAACTATTATTTGTTATTTGAGATGGCTCTCTGGGAAGGGGAGAGAGGGATACTGAAGGAAACTATGGTAATGTAAAATAAAGACATCAATAAAAACTTTAAAAAATTTTAAGAGCAAAAAGAGGGTATTTGAGTGTTGGGAAATATGTTTGTCAAAACAAAATGTATTAATGAATTTTAAAACGTTTTCTGTATCTATTTTGTTTTTCATACTAAATCACTTTCTAATGACCCCTTCATAGGAACCTCTTTTTACCAAAACAAAAATTCTGCCAAAAGTTAAGCAAAATCATTCAATATATTGTCAGCTACTGAAAGCATGTAGCATTTTTTACCCATAGTTCACTAGTTCTTTACAGAGAAGAAGGGATTGTGTTCTAGCATCACACACTGGGAACCAATAATGGTCACTGACATTGGTTGACTTTGGTGGTTTTTTGTTTCCATTATTGTAATCTGGGTGTATAGTTCAGATTCTGCTTTTTTTGCTTTACATTAGTTAATACAAGTCTCCCTGTGTTTTCCTAGATCCCTCATAGGCATCATTTATTAAACATAATCACATTTCATTAAATTTATGTGTTACAGTGTAATCAGTTCTCAATCAATGGGCACCTACCTTATTTCCAATTCATTGGGACAACAAATAATGTTGTTATTGATATTTTGGTATGTACTGGACTTTTCAATCTGTCTCTGACTTTATTGTTATATACACATGGAAAGCAGGAGTTCTGGGCTCTGGCCTCTAGAAGGTTGTTCACTCTTGATCTGGGCAGACAGGAAGACAGCAATGGAGACATGATAAAAGGTAATTTACTTTATTCTTCTCAATCATTCCTCTCACACAGCGAGAATGGAAGCTCCAACACTTACAGCATCCTGTAATTATGCTTTTCACAGGGGCCAGTGAGAATGGGAGCTCAGCTCCTAAAGCATTCCCCTAAGCCTTGATGGCGGCAGGTCAAGGCAGGCACAGCTTTTCAGTGGGCACATTCCACAAATCCACAAATCTGTATTTACTGACCAGTGCCCACTTGATTTATAGAAGAGGAGCACACAAAGAAGGCATTTGGCCAACAGTAAGTTTACATTAACTTTGGCAATATGAAGGTGACTCAGCATAGAGCAGGCACAGTGGGTGTTTACAACTTATGCACAAATATTTATGTTATGTATGGTTATATAACAATGCACAAGCAATGGCATTGTTTACAAGCCATGGTCCCGGAAACTAGTAGATTGTTTGTGGCCATGGATCCTGGGAACTACTATCTTAAAAAAGAAAACAAATCCACTTTACATACAATACACAACACTGGAATTGCTGGGTCAAATGTATGAACATAACTTTTCTCATAAAACTTCAAATTTTTATCTAGAATGCTGGAACAAATTCACAGCTCCACCAACAGTGTATCTGTGTAATTTTCTTTTTTCTTTCTTTTTTTTTTTGTGATTGTTGATAGTCTGAATTTCTTCTCGAAACTGTTTGGTATTGGGGCAGCTAGGTGGTGCAATGGATAGAACACCAGCCCTGGAGTCAGGAGGACCTGAGTTCAAATCTGGCCTCACAAACATAACACTTACTAGCTGTGTGACCCTGGGCAAGTCACTTAACCTCATTGCCTAGCCATAAAAAAAAAGAAAGAAAGAAAAGAAAAAGAAAACTGTTTGATATTCTTTGACCTATAGCAATATACAATATATTGTATACATATACATACATAAATGCTTTTTTTAAAAAAGATCAAACCATATCAATACCCTAAACCTGATAAAGAAATTGTTTTAACCTAACCCCCAGCAACCACTCATTTCTATGCAAAACAACATTTATTTGTAAAATAAGGAAGATTTGATTAAATTATTTTGAGGACTTTTCTAGTTACAAAATCCTATGACTGAGTATTTAAGGAATCTTAAACAGTTTCATTAGACATTCTTCTCCTCCTTTTCTACTGATAGTTACTTGATTTCATGAGTTTTCATGACTTAAGAATTCATCACCTAGTGACCAAGATATTAGTGATGAGCCTTTCTGCACATAACTAATTTGCTCTTTGCACTGAAAACTTTAGTTGTTGGGACTGTATCATTGTTTTCTGCAAGAGTTTAATTGATGCAAAGAAGTTACCAGACTGAATAGACTGAAAGAGTATAGGAAACTGCCTAAGCAACACATTTTTGATCTCTTGGTATAGCCCACTGACTTCCTCCTCATTCTGTGACCCCAGTTAGCTACTCTAGGTTCTTGGTATAGGGCTGGTGGTGTTGGTGAGAATTCTCTTTTACCTCATGAGTTCCCACCACTCTATTTTCCTTTTATTAGTAATCCATAGAGCACACATTGTTCATAACAAAGGCATTTTAATTAAAATCATTTTAAATAATAACATATTTTTCCAATAAACCTTGAAGGTACTGTCTCATAATGATATATACATTTGATGGGAAGAGCAGACCCTATTAGGAATTATGTGTGAGACATCCATACACAGGCATTCAAACGTGAAAGGATGCACTCCCAGGAAACAAGTATGACCAAGGCATATACATGGAAGGACTTCATACTCCACACACTGCAAAGTTGCCAAAGTTTTCAGCTGATACCATCACTCTGTTCTAAGCTATACCTGCTTCTCAATAAGAATTTGTCCTCCCCAGTTGCTGTCAGAAATTGCTCTCTGATTCTCTCTTCCAAGTATTGTATCCTCCTGTTCTCTGCTAGGTGCTTTTCTCTCTTCTGCCTCATGATTAATTCTGTATATTTTCACCTGCTACCCTGAAACATCATCCAATAGGTTTGCTAGTGTTACAACTCTTTAACCAGCCTCTTTAGCTACCTCTGCCATCCACTAGAGTTTTTGTGCTGTGGCTTTTCTCTTCAAGGAAGAAGTCAGAAGCATTTTCAGTTAGCTGTGTCAGCCTTCTCTTTTAACCTCCTTCTGGGACTCTGCAATAGTCTTCAGCTGAGGTACTATCTTTGGAGTACCTCCAAAAGAAATTTCTCCTCCATCTACTGGTGGTGCTGATTGGTAATTGTCTCCTTGGCAGAGAGGGCTATAACTCTCTTCAGCCCGAATTCTCAGTCAATGGCTACAAAGCTCTCCCCAGTTTTCTTAGCTAGGCTCCTTAGCCAATTGCTTTAAAGATTCATTCAATTCTCTCAGTCAAAAAATATGGCAATTCTTTATCAGCATTCTCAGCTAATAGTTACAAAGCTGGCTTCAGCTCTTTTCAGTTAGGTTTCCCAGCCAATAGGCTGGACTTTATAGAAAGTGCAAGAGCTATATGGACATTAGGTTTACCCTTTGAGCTACTGTTTCTCTTCTTTTGAAGACTTCTTGTCTCAGAACTTTACCTTTATTTTCAACTTAGCTGTCTTGTCATCAACTATCTCCACTGCTGTCTCTCAGTTCAACTGTTAACCTAAGTTATGACTATAAGCTCATTTTAGTTCTTAGGTCTTATAGCCCCTAGCTTAAGTAAACCTCCCTATGGCTTTACTTCCTGAAACAAAAAAGGGCTTAAGAGACATCGTGGCAAGGTAATAGTTTTAACCAACCTATATTCCCCTCTATTCTAAACAAAATAGAAACTGCTATCCTGGTTAAAGAATTTTGAGAGGCTAATGACCTCCAGCTCCACTTTCTGCAACAATGCATCACAGCTTGGTGTATCTCTGTTATCACTCCATTCTTGCCAGTCAGAGGAACCTGTAGCCAAGGAAAGCATAAATGTAGAATGTACATTCATTTGTAAAACATGATGGAAGATAATGGCAGGAGATTATAAGCAGCAGAGCATCATACAGCAGCGAAGACAAAAAGCAAATCTATAGAAAGCTAATTATGAGGCCTGACAACATTTTCCCAAGAACATTTATAGACAAAACTAGCTGGAGAGCAACAAATAGAAAATGAAACAGTTTGTCACTGTTTCTATAGTGATCTATGTTCATCATCTGTAATAGTGAACCATCATATTTGGACTCTTTACATGACATCCCTGATGTGCTAAATGAGAAAAAAGAAATAGCACCAACATGATGAAGTTAAGAAGAGTACCTGGCAATTAATGACGCCCAATAGAGGAAATCAGTATTGGATATGACACAATCTCTTAACCTTCACATTTTCTTTAATTTTTTAAATTTACATAGTATGTGGCGTGTCTTTCTAAGTTAATTTTGAAATCAGATTACAGAGCTTTACACATTGCTGCTCATCTATAAGCAGAGCCAGGATACCTCTTTGGGCAATGCAAGAGTTAAGAGGAGTTATCACGCATGAAATGTGTGATAGGGTAGAATGCCAACTAATTTGAAAGACTCTGGGCTTATACATTTTTGTTTGCAAAATAGGTACAATAGAAGGAGTGCACGATGTAATTGATATTGTCATTCTGTAAATCAGGTATTTTGCTGTGAGTTAGAAGTCTGGGTTCAAATCCTGATTCTGACTTTTACTACCAGTGTGACCTTGGTCCAATCACTTAACCTTCTTAGGTCTCTATCTCCTCTTAGGTAAAATGAGGGGGTTAGATAAGGGGCTTCTGATGTCCCTTCTAGCTCTGGATCTATCATCCTTTGATACTATAATGCTTTTTTTAAAAAACATCATTGTTACTTTCCAATACTTCCCTCTATCCCCACTAGAAAATTCCAATGTAACAAAGAATATCTAAACAACAACAAAAATCTCAACGTGCTGACCATGCCTGTCGGTATTTTCCTTAAGATGCACCTCGAGCTTATCATGTTTCTCTCAGGAGAAGGAAGATAAGTTTCACCATCAGTCCTCTGAAGTCAAAGTTGATCACTAGTTTGATAAGAATTCTGATGTTTTTCAATATTTTATTCCTTTACATTATTGTGGTCATTGTGCAAATTCTTCTCTTGGTTCTTCTTACTTTGTATCTGTTAAAACAATATTCCCATGTTCCTCTAAATTCTTCCTATTCATTGGTTAAACACAATAAAATTCCATTATGTTCATATATCACAATTCGTTCAGTCATTTTTCAATTCCCAGTTAAAGAACTGAACACTTTTTTTCAGTTCTCAATTAGGGAGTCCTCTAATATCAGATGATATTTTGACATTTAAAGCCCTTCACAATCTAATTCAACCTACCTTTCTAGGCTTACTATACATTACTCTTCTTCATGCACTCTACATGCCAATCAAACTGACCTTCTTGCTAGTGCTCACACAATGTAGTTCCTGTCTCAGAGCCTTTGCATGGTCTTTTCTCCTCTGGGTTGTCTCTTAGAATCTCTAGTTTCCTTCAAAACTCAAATCAAACATTGCCTGTTATATGAGGCCTTTCCTGATTCCCCCATTTCCCCAGCTTCAGTCCCTCCTCCTCCTCCTCCCAAATTACTTTATATTTATTTTACACATACTTATGTGTGTATATGTAGTTTCCCTCAATAGAATGTAAGCTACTTGAGGGCAAGGATTGCTTGATTTCTGTCTTTGTACCTCATGTACTACTAGTTCAGCCCCTGGCACACAGTAAGTACCTCAGTGAGTGGTTGTTGATTGTTTGAACTATTCCTCCATTTGATGGGCAAATGCTCTAAATGTGGGTCCCAGAAGTAGGGGTGTATGTAAGGTAGATGTGGTTATTCTTTTTTAGATAGCAGTTCCCAGAATCCTAGAAACTAGTTCCCAGACTCATGGCTTGTAAACAATTTCTGCTGTCACTATGCAGTGAGATATAACGATGAGATAATGTAAACATTTGTGCTTAAATTGTAAACATCTACTGTGCTTTCACTGTGCTCAGTCATCATGATAGTGCTAAAGTTAATGTAAACTTGTGAGACTATTGCTGGCAAATTGCCTTGTGTGCTCCCCTATAAATCAAGTGAGCACCTGTCAATGAGTTGGGATTTGGGGAATGCTGCCAGCTGAATGCTGTGCATGCCTTGACCTGCCCCCATCAAGGCTTGGGGGGAATGTGACAGTGTAATGATGGGCTCGCCTTAATCTGCCCTCATTGAGGCTTAGGGGGAATGCACAAGCTGGGATGCTGTGCTGACTTGACTTGCCCCACTGAGGCATAGGGGAATGAGATAGCAGTTGCTCTCCTACATAGAAGTTGTTGCCCTATTCTCACCTGCCCTGGAAAGAAGAGTAATTAGGGGATGTCGTAGGAGTTGGTGCTCCCATTATCAGTGAGCCCCATTGAGAAGAATAAAGTAATTAAGTAACCCCTTATTATGTCTCTGTTCCTGTCCTTCTCATTGTCCAGGTCAAGAGTGAACCTGCTAGAAACTGGAGCCCAAAAGCTCCAGGGCTTCCTGCCCAACAGGGGGATACCTAGGGCCAAGAGGAAAGAAGGAAAAGTTTGAAACATTTGCATGTTGAATGTAACAGGGAACCTGAGAGCTAGTGAAAGGATTATAGAGCTGTTGATGGGACCCAACTGTGGTTTATATACTACGATTTTGGAGAGGAGGAGATGATCGTTTTCCCTATTGTTTTCAGCAGCTTGCAAGCAGGAAAAGAGGAATTAGATATTGGGAGTTACTCAAAAATGAGAATTTGCAGGTCAGGGATTCTATAATGGTACTTAGTGAAGCATTAAAGCAGCAGGTCTAGGTCAAAGTTGGGTGAATGAATCCATAATAAGGGAGAAGGAATGAAAAAATGGAATGCATCACAGACTGTACCAATCTTTCCTCCTGGCCCTATGTCTGAAAGAGTAGGACAAGAAATGACCTCCAATGAATACAGTTGCAAGGAATATGCCATGTTCAGGGGAGAGCCAGATTATTATTAAGATGAGAAGATCAACAGTGCTGGTTGAAAAAGTTTTAGAATTTAGAAGTTTCTCAAGAATAGATCTAGTTTAGGAGAGGAGGACCAGGTTGGAGTAGGCCTATGAAAGTAGGGTTGATTAGAATAGCAATGAGGATTCATGTATTGGAATTGCATGGGGGGAAGGGAGACACTGCCTGCTAATTTAGGCCCAAAAGTTAACTGTTAAATCAGTACCAAGTGATGAAAGGTTTGAATAACTAACCTGTACTTGCAAGTGAATTCCCCTGTTCAAGAAATCTTCAAAATCTCTATAACCATTTGTTTGTTTAAACTCTCCATTCTACTCTGCAATTTAAGAAAGTTTTGCTGTGGTCCGATGAAGCCACAAACACAAAATCTTTTTGTTTTTTTGTTTTGTGTTTTTGTTCTGACTTTTTTTTCTTTTCTTTTAAAGCTTAAATACTAAAACCTAAATATACAATAAGAAAAGAAAAAGAAACATACTATAAACTCAAATACTAAAACTTAGAAAAAAAGCATTGTCATATGCACAGCAGAACATAAGAGAGGTTCAGAATAAAAGACAGAAATCTTTCTTGGAAGATAGAAATTTCTGACCCCAGCCCCTGCTCCAGGAAAAGGAACTTGTGTATATATCTATAAAACTTTCATTTGTTTAGCAACATTCCTGAAAGGAGCCCCTTCGATATAAGATTAAAAATTTTGCCAAGTCCATGAAAGCTGGGCTACAGACCAGGAGACCAGCCCACAAAGCCATGCTGTAACTGATGGGGTGCTTAGGTGCTTATGTTTGGGTGCTTGTATTTGGACCCCGATTTCTCCCTAGCCTCAGAAATACTGTCCCTGACAGTTTCTCCCCAGCCCAAGGACCCTGTGCATAGCAAATACTCATGAGTGGGCCCCAGCAAGACCCTTATCTCTCTCCTTGGTGCAGTTCCAAACAGCACCTGAAGGATTTATTAGTTTGAACTGGCTTTGCACTGGGTCATAAAGATATTCTTACCCACTGGACTATCTCCTACTGCCCTACCTCATTATCTACATCCTGGGCTCCTCATTAACTGTATTCTAGACTTAAGACATATGTATACTCCATATATCTATCTTGTCAAACAAGACATTGATTGGTGGCAGACTGGACAACTCTCAGTTACCCTGAACTCTAGTTGACTTAGTGAAGTAGCAGGCCTAAAACCATACCTCCATGTGGCCCCCCCTTGTGGGCTCTTCCTAGTGAACTTTGGGTAAAACGCCTGTGCAGTAGGTACAAGAAGTGCATGTTCTTTTAAGAACTGACCACTCCTTAACCACTCCCTAATCCCACCCTGAATCCCCTAGTTAGCATATTTGGCACATGTTTTATTGCATTTTATCCTATATAAACTTTAACTGTACCTCTCTAAGATTGCAGGAATCCTTAAGAATCCTTGCCCATTGAAAAGTGTAACAATAAATTTTGCCACCTTGACTTAAAGAATGCTTGAGTCTGTGAATTCATTCCAGATGACCTATGGTGTACTTCAGTCTTTGAGGGGTCACAACCTCTCAACCTCTCACACTGCAACATAACCACTGAAAAGGCCAGAAGATCTCAAAGTGGATATCCATAAGCAGGGAATTGGGGACGGATCTTGTCTCTCCACTAACTAACCATCCAGAAAGTTGAAAAGGAGATCAAGAAGCAAGGTTTAGAGGTAGCAGCCCCAAAGAGAAAAGAAAGTAGCAGTTGGGGACAATTAGACACACACACCTCTGTTTACAGATGAGTGCTCCATATTAAGCATGGCTACTCAGGCCTGGGAGATAGAGCAATGAAGAACTGAATGGGCATAACTTAGGGGCCAAAGGAAGTCATGTCTTAGCCTTACTTGGACTGGCCAGCTCAGGAATATGTATATCTCTGTAAGAGTAACTGGATAAAAG